CATGACTACGTATCCTTTTAATATCCTGTGTGCGCGACGCTTCAAAACTTCCGCTAGCATATAAATAATATGAAATATGAATACAGAATTCCTTGCATATAAATAACTGAATGTTGTAAAGCACTGAAATTACAAAGAGTGGGTGCCATTTACATAAATGCTTCCTTTTTTGCGTGCTCAATAAGGAAAGAGTTATATAACTGACTGGTCAAATTACAGTCCAAATAGTTGTATAAAAATAGTTGTTATTAACCATCCAATCGGATACAAACTCACTTCTAAAGATCTTTGTGCATTGGAGATTTGCTTCGCCCACTCTGAATGGTAAATAGGTAATGATTAATGCATGAATGAGTGTTTAAAATTAAACGGAGAATAGCTACTAAATACTTTTCCAGCGAGTCTTTGAATTGGTCGGCTTCGAGCTCATTTGATCTACATAACGTGGAATTTGAGAATTGGGGTTCAATGAAGTAAGGTTATAAAGCTAGGATATATAAATGGTGTTAATTATTATGATTATTATGTTACTTTTAATTTTAATTTCTATACTAACTTACTGACTACTTTGATATCCAGTTAAGATCTTTTAACATCTATAAAACAGTTGTCGTATTCAAACTTATGTAAGTTTTGTAGATCTTGATTTTGAAATTGAATTACTTCGAGTAAGCCTTATATAATTGAGTGTTTAACACAAGTGAACTCCATTCGGAATAGTTGGTTGTTACAATAACTGCATTGAATAAAATATCAATTACCTTTGCTGACTACTGACTTTCTCAAACTTTAGGCGAAAGAAAACAAATATTTTTTACCAAATATACTAATGATGGGTAAAGTATTTTCTTCTGCCGGTAGAGAATTTGCACTCTATAACCTGAGCGAACTAATTGGCATCGCCCAATACCAGGCAGCTATTATAAACATTATTTTGTATGAAACAAACTGAATTAAAATAGTACCATATAAACAGAGCACAGCATACAATAGAATCGCAATTGCAATTCTATTTATTGAATTCAAAAATAGCACGCTATTGAATGTTTGTGTTATAGAATATTCATATTTTAACAAATAGACAACAGCCTTAAAATTGTGGTTTTAATTGTTGTGCGGTTCCAATTGGAGTTCTTATATATTTGATATTTGATACTTGATCTAAATATACTATACTATAAGCCACAAGTCAAATGTTGTTACTTTAGCTCTTAAGACCAAAGAAATATGCGCAAAAAGCAGGATACCAATGTCGATTTTAATCGATTGTGGGGCAAGTTTTTGATTATTTGAAAAAAAGTAGAAACTGTGCGGGTCATAAAAGGACCTACGTTCCAAGTCTTCAGTGTTAGCTTTCTAGATTGACGCTTTTACCCATGCGGATGGACATACAGTGAGGCTGTCAGACAGACATGGCTTAATCGTTCCGCCTGTTAATGCTGATTTTTATGGGATCGGAGATGTCTCCTTCTGCCTGTTACATAGCACAACAGTACAACAAAATCATACCCCTTTTCCCATTTCAGTTGGTACAGGGTATAATAATTTTTGTTCATATGCGAACACTGTGAATTCGTTTTCAAATGTTGTTGTCTGATGTGCATAATTATTTACAAATATGATGGCAACATTATACATTGCAACAATTCGATGATTAGAATTTGCATAATTTGACCTACTCGTGCTGATGTTAAATGATTTAACATCAACAATAACTCCCCATGCTACTCTCTGTGCGACACCTGCACACAAATTTCAATTAGGAGCATTTGCTTAATTGTGCTAAACATTTCGAGTGTCCGGTCCGAAATTAATTTGTTTGTGTAACAGGACAAACTAACAACAGTTGCTGTCCAACCCCTTCCACCATCCACTCCCACCCAGTTCAACACTCGGCGAGTTCTTGGCCAGGTGCTGTTCAAACAAATTGCGTACGTGTATATGGGTCCTGCTTGGGTCCTTTGCTCCTTTGGTAATTGTAATGCAAGCAAATAAACGAGCAAGTGAAACACGAATATTCATACACGACACAGCCCAACAATGGGTACAGGGAGCTCAGCTTGTGATACAAGGACGCACAGCAGCAGCAACAATATTTGGCAAATTGATGCAGGGATAGGGATAGGGACAAGGAGGTAAAGGGGTGGACTGCGCCACTGCGCAGCAAATGTCACAAATTTCACAATCAACACCAATTTTTAATTTCAATTCTGTTTTTTTGTTTGTTTATTTTTTCCAGCTTGTAACAAGTTAGAATTTATATCCTGCCAACACCTGCTGCCATTCCTTGTCCCCAAGCGCCAATCGAATTATGTTAGCTATGCTTACACCAGGTCCACATACGACATTTGATATTATTTGTGTGCTTGGACTGCAAAAACGGGCTTAATAAAAGTTAATAATACATAACAAACTGTGATTTTTTAAAGAATTGATATTATATTTAATTTACTGAACCATTTTTTATTTTTAGCTGTGACTATATTTCTAATTTCACTTCAATAAGATGTTCATCATTTTACTTGTCTGATCTTGACAACTTTAATATTTTATTTTCCGAATCGCAACAAAAAACTCATTTGGGAAGTTCATCCCGCAAGGTTAAAATGTTTTGTTTACCATCTGATCGGCATAAAAATCATGTTCAAAGATCTTTGAACTTTCTTGCTAGTACATATGTATGTATGTATGTTTAACTTATTAAAATGTGAATTGGAAGTTAAAGGTGAATACAATAATATTCACAATTTTACACAACTCTTAACATATTTTGACCATAGTTGTAGCAAATTGCATTGGCTATCATATCGGGTTTTCACCGTAACAATTCTGAGCGTTTTTCATCAGCGCAATTTTGAGTTGATTCAACGGTCTCTTGCTGTCTGTAAAGTGTCACTTTCAATTGCAGAACACGACTCTCGAAATTAGAACCCGTTTCTAGCCAACTTCGAGGGTTCAACAATTTCGGTGCAGGGCAAAAATTAACTCCACGGTTGCTTGCCATGCTCTATCTGTCAATCGATGCAGCAGTTGTTCGAATTCGTTTTCATTTTCATTTTAGCTTTTGTTTTTTTTTTGAGGTGGAATAGTGACAGGGACTGAGGCTGCGAACTGACCTATAAATCATCTAATGGCCGCAGCGTTCGGTTTAGTTTTTGCGCCTGTCCCCGCAGCTGCCCTACCGCGCCATTACCATTTCAATATTTGTGCGAAATGCGGTTGCAGCCACACCGACACAAAACACTCTCCATCATTCTCGGCATGGCAAACGGGGCTTGGCTCGGTTTTGGTTTTGAGTTTCGTTTGGATTTTGTTGTTGCTCCCAACGTTTTAGCTTTGGGAATTTGTGCAGCACTTGCATTGAATGCCTGTCTGTCTGATCGGGCGTGTGTGTGTTTCGGTTTGTATGTATGTATGTGTGTGTGTGTTGACCAAGACAAGCTTTTAGTTGTTTAAATTTGAGTTGCATCGTGTGGCCCATACAAATAAAACAAAGCGAAAAAGAGCTGCATTCATATAGAGCTTTCATTTCGACAATATTTTTCGCTTTGATTTTACTTTTTTTTCGATTTTCGCAAATTTCCTATTGCATATTTCAACTATTTCCTTTTGGTAAGAGTCATCCTTGCATTTGCTTAATTTCCGTTTTTTTCTGTTGCTTTTCTCTACCATTTCAATTGCTCTGCCCTGTGAGTCCTAGCACACATCTTTTTGAAATTCAGTTTACATTTCTGATACTCTGGACTCACAGATGAACATCAGTTTTACAGTTCATTTGTTATCGAATCGAATTTTACTTTTCAGTTTTCTTTTGCATTTCTGACGGCACGACATGGCGTATGCGCAACGTATTTGCCATGTGTCAAAGATACGGAAAAATTAAATTAAACGCACTTGAGTGTGAAATTTGCCAAGAGCTTTAAGAGAGTTGCTAAACGATACTGATAAGAAGAACTGCTTAGTGAGAACCAACTGTGCCTAAAGAACTGAAAACTCAGTGATGATTTATGACTGTTATTTTCAAAAAGAATCTAGCCCTATAAGGCAACCTGGTAGAAGCAGTTACAAATAGTATCAATTAAAAGCTGATGACATTAGAGAAGATTTGAGCATTCAATAAGAGGAATTGTGTAAACCTGTAAGTCCAACAATTTATTCTGACTGAATAACTCGCCGACTTATTGTAGATTAACGCATAGCCCAAAGTGTAATAACTAGGAAATTGTTACTGTAGTTCCCTTTTCTAACTATCAGATAAACTTCTTATTTATTCTCGAAGATCTTTGTAAATACGTATTTTTCTATTTATTCAATGGACTTTTCTTAATTTAAATTATATTCAGATAGTACGTGTACATTCGCGTTTATGTTTAAAATTTCAACTAAAAAAAGTAGATGAACTTTTTTACTTTACAGTTTTGGTTAGAGTCACAAAATTAAGCGGGTTGATATGCTCTATTACCCCACACACTAGCTAGAATCTAAAAAGTCCTTGCTTGAGCTTACAGTCTTAAAGTCGCAAGCCCAATAATCAAGAGGACTCTTTCGACTGATAAATCAGTTTCTACTAGATACTATCTACGCAGTTTTTTTTACTTATATTGTTAATGAGTCAAATAAAAGTGAAAAGCATTTGCTTAATGCTTAGGCGGGTGGGCAGAGGGTATCACAACGTACGAAGTCCCAAGGCTTGAAGTTGCGGTAAGTCCCAAAATAGCCATAAATTTTAAAGTTTTAAAAAAGAAACAGACGGTTGGATGAATACAAAATAAAAAAGAGACCTCACACGGCGAACCAGAAAGCGTGGCTTAGAGGAAAAAAAGGTCATAAAGGAGGCCTCAAACAACTTGGCCAAGTAAGGCCCGAGGAAATATGCTTATTTTACTTATGCTTCTCCATTGCAGGAGCGACGCTTCCTCTTCGCCTCTTGTTTTTGGTTTCTTCCAGCGAGCCTTATGACACTTTAATAAATGCATTTTATTTTTATTAAAACAATTAATTGTGCTCTAGTGCCCGGAACCGTGCAACGCGTGCAGTCTTTCTTAAAGACTTAGCCCGATTGCATAAACAACTTGGGCCCAACAATGGCTTTATCTAACCACATATGGTTAGATTGGTATGTATGTTAATGGTTCGGTTTATGGTACAAATAAATGTAATTTCCCTATTTGAACCGGTTCGGTTAAAAGGCAGGTTGAATATATTGTTTTTAATATGCAGTATCAATAGAAGTGCTGGGTGGAATACCAGGAAGTGGAGTTGCAGGTCCAGCTGTGTGAGCTGGTTGCATAGTTGCGCCACGGACGTACAGCAAAATGATGTTGTTAAAGTGCAAATGGTAAGTGGCAGCATCATGATGTTGCCTTTAGGGAGACGAATGCTGCACGAGGAGCGCGGACTCTCAGCAAAACATTGCCTTTTGTTTAACGGCTGCATTAAACTAAAAATAACTCTTTCTAAGTATGACACCGACTTGTCGATGCTCTATTCCAGCTTATGATTTATCGGTTGTACGACAATAAAACACGTATTCAACTTAGTTAGAGGTTCAATTCCAATGGAAACAAGCCCTAAACAAAAATGTGCAAAGCTGTTTATACAAAATTATGACCAACCCTTCTCAAATGAAGGGTATGCGGACGTCCACATAGACAACCCGTAATCAAAATCACGCACGCATACAAACCACACACACACACACACACACATGAGAAACTAAACAGCATCCGTTGGGGTAGGTGGTGGGCTTTGAGCGAAAGAGTATCAGGAACGGCGACAGCGATGTCGGTGGCAACAGCGCGCGGCATTAAGCACGTCGGCAACATAAATATTTTAATTTTGCTAAAAATTTGTGCTGAAAAGTCGCTTTTTTGTATTAGGAAGTGCGAGGCGAAGACACAAACATGCACACACACATACACACACGCGCGCGGAGCATTAACTAAACAAAATGGCGTCGACGAAAGGATGCGCAACGCAGCGCAGCGTTCGTAATTGTTGTTGTTGCTGCTGTGGTTGCTGCCTGCCAGGGCGGTGCTGGTAATGATAAGCGTTGTTAGTGTTTTACTTTAATAGGCAAAATTATGTGCACACGGACACAGACACAGACACATAGACACGCATGTAGACACTAGCACACTCTCATACAAAGGCTTTGACTCAAACACGGCTCAAAGGCATAAATTATTGCGGTTAACAGACAACACAGCAGAGGACATAGCGGTAGCAGCAGTGGGAGCAGTAGCAGCAGCAGCTTCCGTTGCAGGAACTGAATCTCTCGCCGTGGACGGAAATGCCGCTGGCTGCGCTGTGCCGAGCTTTAACCAAATTAAAATAGTGTCGGCCTGGCCTAAATGCAGCTTCCTCGTGCCATTTCCAGCAATATAATGAGTCAAATTTAACTTAACCATTGCAACGAGTATTCTCCTTTGGCCACGAATGGTGCTACGCATTCAAGGTATCTATTTATTATACTTTGATCAGCATTTTCCATCCAAGAGTGCTGGATTATGCGCAAAACATTAAATCTTTTTACATACAGATCTTTGAAAATCATAGTGAAGCCTATCCAATGTTGCGCGAAAAAGTTTCAAATTTTCCGCCAAATATCCATTAGGTCAGTATAAAAACCTACCTTTTGTTCTATGATTCGCAGGGCATAACATATAAAACCGCAATTGTTTTTATTTTATAATTTATTTATTTTTTATGTTTCCCTATGCTATATAATCCCCCTGCCGTGTATAATTTACTGATTTCACAATTGTTTCTTTTCCGGTCGCACACACATCCCGATATTGTCCGTTCCAGCATTTCGGGAAACATGCATTAAGAAGATGGTAATATCATTTTTTTTTTGGACGAGTTTCCAGAGCCTGCCATTGATGTTGCGATGTGAGGATGTTTGCCATATGTATGTGATATGTATGCCATATGCATTAATAGTATGAAAACTATTGTTTCTGCAAATATCTTGACCAAATTAATTATTGGAATGTAGCTGCCGCCAATTATGATTGCCGCTAATTAAAAGGAAAAATAACATATGAGGTAATCCAAAATTATTATATTGTACTGTTAGATATAATTACAGAGTAATACGAACTGGTAATTTGCGAGTATATTACTGATGTCTTGTATAAGAGGTTGCCCTTTATGTTTCGATATTCTTTCCAATAACTTAGATTCTAGAAATTTGAAGTTATAAGCAGGTTCCATTGCATCTGTTTATTGAAGCGAAGCACGTCTTTGTGCAGTCACCTTAAATACGGCATACAAAATTCCGATGCTGACGGCAAGTATTATTAGAATTTTAAGCGCACAGCCTAAAATGGAGGAATCGTGCCCATGAAGCGACATCGGACAGAAATCGTAATGATGCGAATAGTGCACATCATGACAGTGATCTCCAGAGAACATATGCCTCCATGCCCTCTGTGGTAGTTCCAATAGTACATAAATTCTGGATTTTTGCCGAAAACACTCGGGATGTTCAGCCCTTAAATGGGCCTCACAAATCCTTCCGTGCGGCGACAGCTTACAGATAAAATTTAGAAAATGCTTATATGGATTTAGCCCAGACATGATGCTTTCAAATAATAAAAACTTCCTGGCGAGTTGATTTATTTATAAATGAATCGAATTCTATACACTGCCACTGACAAACATTTCATAGATGTCTACCACAAGTTTGCTAAAAAATGAGTACAAATTTATTATATTGTTAATAATGTAACAACTAAGTTAGTTCTTTATAAATCAATCGTAGTATTCTCCGGCGCGAGCGGAATTAGTTTTTATTTCGAATAGCTTCCGTATTTCTTCTGGGGTCTTGCCTGTGATCATGTTGGCCACTGCCTTGCAGGTGAGCGTGAGTAACCCCTTGATATTCAAATAATTGGCAGCTTGGATCAGTTCGAAGAGTGTGGGTTGGTCAACACTGATAAACTGAGTGTCCCACGGATCAGTGGTGCACTGTGCGTCCCCTGAAGGATCATATTTGTGATGTTCGGCCCATTCAATAACTTTGCGCAAAATAGCTGCACTCACTTTCAGCTTTGGCAGATCACCCTCTTCTGTAGAGCACATATCTAGTAAAGGCTTAAAGAAAAAAAACAGAAAATTTACTCTTTATATTATTTGCGAGAACGTTCCACTCGGAATGTTTTGAAGTGAAACGCTTTTGTTTACATGTTAATGACATTGCAAAATGTGAATTTTCTATTGGAAAATTTTGTACAAACTGCTTACCCTAATTATGTCCGAGCACTGGGCTATTTGATCGTCTGTTTCAATAATTATATCATCGGAAGTCAGAAATTTTATAACAGGCATGATTGATTTTATGGCGTTAAACGCTTCCCGTTGCAATTTTCTTATATCTGCCGGAATGTATGACACGCCTTTGAAATAGGGATGAGCGATATTTACACAACCTGTTAAAAGTATCAAGTATTTTAAATTGACATGAATCTAATACCACTATAAAAATGATATTTCTTCCATTAATTTTCTCCGCATAAATTATGTGTTTCAGCTAGTTTTTTTATAAAGATTTTATTTCATAAACATAAGTAATTTAAATTTGCGATGGCAGTACGGTTGCCGAGTGTCGGGCAACAACGATATTACGGACGATGAATTTTCGATTGTTTTATACTATAGATTTCCAGATGGGCGAATGAGATCATTCGTATTCCCATATTGAGTCATTATGAGTTATTTAAAATGTTAAGTTTAAAAAAATTACATCAATAATAATTGAAATGTTTATTATACATAAGCTATACATTATTAATAATATAGAAACTGTAAAGTCTAATTGTGTTTTATAATTAAATTAAAAAATGTACATAACTATATGAATATACTATCGTGTATAATCCGCCTTTAGCTGAACCGCGTTTTTTGTTTCAAATTTTTATGTGTAGCAGTGCTGGTTACTTTCTTTTCAGATTCAGAGTTTTATGTAACAGATCCGATCCGATGGTTACCCGGGCACTTGCAGAAAAGCTGAGTACTCTGAAAAATATAAGTACTTATCAGCTGAACTTTTCCTAATGAATCAGTACTCAGCTGCTCATTTTGTAGTCGCTAGAAAGCTGAATGCTTTGTAACAACCGATAAGTACTCAGCTGTTGCCTTTGTTGCTGAAGATCTATGTTACGGGACATATTAAAATACATATGTATCTGAAAGTACGTATTTTTGCCCTCTGCCGCCATTACTTAAATGTTAAGACCATTGCTGTTGTGAGTTGGAAGGCTGTAGGAGGAGAGACTGCGCTAAGATTCTGAGAGAATATATATTTAAGTTCTTACCTGTGTAGTTCGTTTTGCACTATGCTGACTCTGTTAACATCGGCGTAACATAGCCAGGGGCCAGGCGTAAACCCTGCAGTGTTCAAATTGCAGCTCCACCTTCGTTTGGCACGCGACAATCTACTTTGTAATTCATATGTAATTGGTTGTTATATTGGAAGCAGTATGCTTTCAATTAATTGGATGAAATAATAAAACGAAACTATCCTTGATGCAATAACAACAAATATTTTCTAAGCTTATCGGCCATTGTAATATATGTAGCACGCCAAAATCGATATTTTTTAAATTTGTGCCACATATAAAATTGATTTCTTATAAGGCTAATTTAAAAAGCATTCTTTGCGAACTGTTTTTAGCCACTTGCTATAAGATCTCCCACATTATAGTACAAGCCCTTTAAGAGGAATGTGTGTTGAGTCCAAAATGGAAGAAATATTCATATTTCCGACAAAGCATTTAGAGAACAACTTCCGATTTTGTAGCCATTGAAGATGGATAAAAGACGGTATTTATATATATTTGTTCTTGGTTTAAATCATCTATAACCCATATATCCATTTGATCGATAATAATCGATATCGCTGTTCTAAGGATGTTTTAGAACTTATAGGAGCTGGACACAATAAATTGGGTATGTCGACTTTCCCTATCAACACACAAGTCATGCTTATGCCATTTCATTTCTTTTCAGAAAGCATTTCCCATTGTGTGGAGCTAATGGAAGAAGCATCACAGCTGCTGGAAAATTGAATAATCATTCGCGGATCCGTTATGGCAAAAGTGAGTTCTATGAAAAAAGTGGAAGAGAAAATTAAGTAACATTTCCTCCCATGGGGTAGATCCAGTGTTTGATAACTCTTGAGCCTTCTTGTAGCGGCGCTGTTGCCGAGCGGATTGACTGCGAGGGTATTGGTGTGCCTATAGAACCGATCCTAACACTAATTGTTTTATCTGGTAATTCTCAGGCATACTTAATAAAGATAGAGGTGCTATTTGGTTGGTATTCAAAATAAAAGAGCACAATATAATTAAATTGTTTTTAAAGCTTTTGATGTTTGTTAAAAGGTATTCATTTTAATATTAAAGCAAGAAATAGTTGAACGATATTGGAGCTGATGCTTTTGCCACGCATATTAAAGGGAGGAAAATCCCGAAAATATACAAATCTATCTGGGCGACTGTTTATTGAACAAAATGAAATGTGTAACAAAGTGGCATAATTTTTTTCTTATTGAAATACTAGTTTTTAAGTTGCGACTGCAACGTTCTTCTTCAGCCGTAATACTTATAAAACACATTTTTTCTTAAATTATTTTATGAATGAAACGTCTTGAAAGGTCGCCGTTGCCTTATTGAACATTTGTGTGGCTTTAGTTAAATGTCGCCAATTTTTTAAGATTATAGGTATTCAACACTTATATCATTTTTATCAATGTCTACTTTAAAACAAGATTTAGTGTTCCACTTTAATTTTGTTTTTTATTTTTTAAAGTTAGAACTGACTGTCGATGTCGATAAGTATTTTAGAGTTAATCAGGAATTTCAAGCACAAATTCCAATAAATCAAAAGCATATTATCGGTTATCGAAACCATAATATATTGAAGTTTAATAAAACAAATTTTCAATAGTAGGCGTGCCATTGTTAGTTGAAAGCTTGTGACATCTGAAGTCATCAGTCGAGTTCTACAAAGCAGTTGAGGAGCTTCAATTTGAGCAAATTTGTTTAATTTTGTGTATTTTCGCTATAAATATGGAGTCAACAATAATTTTGGATGATTTGGAAATCGTGCCCCCAACTAAGACTAAAAATAATGCGAGTGGCAAGCGTAATGCAGATGCATCCAATATTGAAGCCGGCTGCCCTGCACCTGCATCAAAAAAACCACGAATTCGCAATCGTGAAGGTAATTCACAGCGTTGGGAGAAGGATAATGTAAGTATATAGTTTCGCTTCCTTAAATATACCTATAATAAATTAGAAGGATATTCAAAAACTTAGTGTATAGTCTGTTCAGAAAAAATAGTAATAAGTTATTGTGTATTTTAATTCGTTCTTTGATATTGTATTTCCGAAGCAACCAATGCGAACATACATAACCATATCATCTGGCCTGCGCTTCTGAGAGGGCAGATCTGTTTTGACTATTTCGACTGGCTTTTGTTCATTCAATGGGATAGCTGCCCCAAATAAGAGTCCGCAAATGCTACCCCTTACCAACTTCTTCCATTAACCCTGTAGGACTTTGCATTGCAATCTATAACAAGAAAAAAGGAATAAGTAGGAACGTTGTAGTCGAGTGTGCTAGATTACAAAACTCCCTGTACCCTTCAGCATATATATACTGGTTTTTGGCACCACGCTTTAATGTCAAATCATAAAATTAGCTCAATTTGAATTCCTTAATGCTTCTGCAGGTATATTTATGCAAAACACAGAAACTCAGGTGCGGCCAATTGCGCAATTTACGGATTGGGAATGGAAATTTAATATAATATAATAACTTCTGTTTGTTATCAGAGCTTCATGATATTTTAAAACACAATGATCTATATTATATGCCTTTAGTCCCAAGATTATTGATTTTCATCGCTATTTTGGAAATGGTATTATATTTCAAATCTCGGTTTTTGTAGTTTTCGAGATCGACGCGATCATACAGACGGACCGGCAGACGGACATGGCTAGATCGACTCTGCTATTGGTGCTGACCAGATATACACTTTATGGGGTCGGAAATCCTTCGTTCTGCTTCTTCACCCATTTTTCATTTTTGTATGGGTACAATATATATGTATATAGAGCTTTAGAATATATTTAGCTAATGATATGCTAAGATAAAAAGTTTAATTTTGCTATTGTACTTTTACAGGCTGTTGCTATGCAGCGATCAAAGGAACATATAATGATGGATGGAGTTAATTATACTGATAACAACCAACCTCAACCGGAGACTGAATGTGAACCTCCGCCAAAATCGTTCCGAGCTCGCGTGGCCGGGAACGTCGGCGGTCAAGGCGAGCAACGTGGCAAGTACCGTGGATCGCGTGGCGGTGGTGGCAATGGCGGAAGTGGTAATGGTGGAGGCTTTAATGGTAATGGTGGGGGTGGTGGTGGTGGTGGTGGTGGTGGTTGTGGCGGGGGCGTGGGCGGTAGCGGTGGTCGGTATTCAATCGGCGGTAATGGCCACAATGGCTCCTATCAACGGAGCGACGAGTATTTCATAGCACAACGGCTGCGTAGCCTTAATGGCCCAACTATTGACCTTGCTCCAATTGATGTCAATGAGGAGGAGATAAAATTTTCCGGACGCAATCGCCTGTATGTTGGCAATTTAACTAATGATCTACAAAGGGAGGATGGCTTGCGTGAACTGTTCAAGCCGTTCGGTGAACTGGACGATATATTCATGGGTCCAGATAAAAAATTTGCATTCGTTAAGGTCGATTATCATGTCAATGCCGAAAAAGCCAAACGTGCCTTGGATGGCGCCCTGGTCAATGGCCGACAGCTGCGCGTACGTTTCGCTCCCAGCGCTACAGCTTTGCGTGTTACCAACCTGACACCCTACGTGTCCAACGAGTTGCTCCATAAGGCATTCGAGGTATTCGGACCTATCGAGCGGGCATTCATTATTGTTGACGATCGTGGCAATCATACGGGTGAGGGCGTCGTTGAATTTGTCAAGAGATCATCTGCCCACATCTGCTTGCGTATGTGCCATGATAGATGCTTTTTCCTAACTGCTTCGTTGCGTCCATGCGTGGTAGAGCCCAAGGAGCTGACAGAAGAGGGTTTGCCCGAAAAGGCTCTCAACAAGAATAGCCAGTTCAACAACGCTCGCAGCATTGGACCACGCTTCGCCGATCCCGATTCATTTGATCAGGAATACGGTACGAGATGGAAGGAGCTGTATGCTCTATACAGCGCCAAGAGCTCTGCTCTCAAACGTGAAATGAAGATGGAAGAAGAAAAGCTTGAAGCTCAGCTGGAGTTTATTCGCTATGAGCGGGAGACTCAGCTTTTGCGCCAAGGTTATTGTTTATACATTTATACAAACCTATTTCTTGTTTTACGCCATATTCCCAAGAGAAAGTAAGGATATCTTTTTGGCAAGAAAAATATTTGTATATATCTTCATATAGGTATATGCCTTTTGCAGATATGTGAGAATAGTGAAACTAGTAAATGCGGATTAAAATATGTTGGTAAACAGCATTTTTTACCATACAATAACCTACTTTTCGACCGATTCTTCCTATGACAGCTACATAATATAGTGGTCCGATGTTGATAAGGTTTTGTTTATATATTAAGAGCATTGTGAAACTAATAAATCCCTAATTTGGTAGAGTTGTTAATAAACAAAAGGTTTTCCATACAAAAACCTACTTTTCAACCGGTCTTTCCAAATGCAGTTTCATGATATAGTGGTCCGATGTTGAAAGAATTTCGCATATATGTAGGGAGTACAGTGAAACTAATAAATGCCGAGTTTGGTAAAGATTTCTTAAAAAAAAATAAAAGAGTTGTTCATTGAAGTCCTTATTTTTCGACTGATCGTTCCTTTGTCAGTTATATGATATAGTAGTCCGATTCGGCCGGTTCCGACATATTTTCAGTCCGAACAGTTTCAGGACGACAGTTAGATGGCTGTTTATGCGCTTCGCATTTAATGACCAAATTATAATACCCTTTACAAATTGACTAAAGATAATAATTTGTAGCACTTTTTGCAACGAATCGAACATTTAAGTGTAAAAATTCTGTTTATAATATATAATATAATATATTGAGTTCTAATTTTGTAAACATAAAAAAAATATAACAAAACTCAACGATAGTTCACATGGTTTCGTTGATATACATATATTTATTCTAGAACTAAGAAAGCGCGAAGCTGATAATGAGCGCCTGAGATTGGAATGGGAAATGCGCCAGAAGCAGTCGTTGGATATGAGTCTGCTCGAAGATGACGGTTTGCTACGTCGTCAGAGCGGAACGCAGAGCCTCTTCATGCGTCCCGACGGGCCATTAAGACGTCGCCAACAGGATAAGTCTTTGTATATGCCGGAGCAGCCAATTGGATTCGTCGGTGGTTGCGAGCTTGGATCAAGAAATCGGAGCTTCGAAAACTCACCATTTGTGGTCTTTGGAGGTATTTTACAACACATTTTTCAATCAAAGCCATTTTCTAACGTGACATTTTACTTCTTATAGATGCAAACAACACAGATAATAATACTGAATCTGGAGCAAATAATCAGGTATTTACAGGGTTCTACAGACTATTCTAACAGATGGTAAAATGTATACAAGAATCAAAATATTTAGGTTAACAATTATAAATAACAAATAATTATCAATTCTATAAAAAACTGCTGATATTAAGCTAGTAAGAAAGAAATATACGAGCGGTGGTTAGCTTATTTTTCAACAAAATTAAATACATTTATTGAATACATTAGTTTTAAAATCTATTTGGTATGATAATAAATCTTGATAGTCAATAGCTTTACGGGAAAAATATCGACTTGCCGGATGATTAGGAAAGATCGATTTATGCAAGCTGCGGCCTGGGAAACTTAACAAAAATATTTCTGAAGTCTTGCGGTTTAAATTCAGGAACTTTAGCTTTAAAACTGTAGGTATACTTATTTTCTTGGTTCGCCTGACACTTGTCGAGTGTGACTAAACAATTAAACATATTGTCTGTGTGTTCAGTACAAGAGTACAGCGACAAAAACTGAAGAAAATAAGCTGTTTCTTTCTTTAAAGCTAGATGATATGAATTAGATACATTAATGATATGAAAATTAATGGATACACTGCCATTCCACATAGGCTTAAGATAATTCACACCAAAATTTTGTTGAATTGCGTTGTTCACTGCAACTGGGTTACGTCCTCACAAAATAATGTAATTTTTAGCCGCTTTTAACATTTCATTTTTAATAACATTAAAATAACTTTAAAATTGAATAGTAATTTTTAAGTAATCAAAACAAACTAGCAAACTTTTAAGTGGGTATT